TCACTTAGGAACACTGAGGCAAAGAACTCGTTGAGGAGTTCAGCCTTGTCCCCCCGTCCATCACCAATTGCTTCTGCCCATTTAGTAGGGGTCCTATTCGTCCCTGGGCCTTCCTTTTACTCCCTATATATCTAAAAAACAATTTTTTGTTATCTTTAACTTGGGATGCCATCCTCAGCTCCATGGTAGCTTTGGCCCGTCTAACTGCCTCCCTACAAGTGTGAGCAGAGGAGGTATACTCCTCTTTAGTAATCTCTCCCCGTTTCCACTTTTTATATGCCCCCCTTTTTGCCCGTAGGCTGCTCTGGATTTCTCTGGTCAGCCAAGGAAGCCTCTTGCCCCTTTCCCCCTTTTTCCCCACATCGGGATCGTCTCCCTCTGTGCCCAAAGGATCATTTCCTTAAGGCACAGCCACCCTTCCTGGGCTCCCATCTCTTCAAAACTCTTACTCTGCAGTGCATCCTTGACTAATCGCCTGAGTTCATTGAAATCAGCTTCCCTAAAGTCTAGCACTTTCACCCTACTAGTTACCTTACCCACTCGACGTCTTATGATGAATTCTATTATTTGCTGATCACTGTCCCCCAGGTGACCACCGATCTGTAGGTCTCCTACCATGTCATCCCCCGTTGCCAATACCAGGTCCAGTAAGGCATTCCCCCTCATAGGACCATGTACCTCCTGCGTCAAATGGAGGTCCTGTACACAGGATAAAAAGCCTAGGTTAAGAGCAATGATGTTCGGAGCTTCTACTCGGGTGATACTTCCTCTAAAATAGCCCCTGCCCAAGGCTGTGATTTAGGGGCTTGATGGTACATCACTAAAATCCCTGCAAGTCTTTCTATTGGATTGGAGCGGGAGCAGGATGAAACCATAAAGGCACTTCGTCATTAGCTATTCCTTCAGAAACAGCTTTGAAAGATTTATTTTTCCCCGTGTGTGTTTTACCTAACAATGTAGCCAGAGACAATATGTTACATGATGGACAGTCTCCTCATTTAAAACTGTAAATAACCCTTTTGATTTGGAAAATGAAAAGCTTCCCCAGCCAAGCTCTAATAATATTTTCTATTAGTTGCAGCAGCATCAGATGAAGGAAATCCTTTGGGTGAGGCGTATACAGACAGTTCAGGTTTTTTGTTTTTAAAGCTGAACTCACTGCTGTCATACGAAGCTTGGGAACCAGGTTATCTCTGTTTTGAGAGCATTTCAATTGACCAGCGGTCATAATTATTTTACGAGCTTTTCCTCTGTAGTATCTTCAGGGTTTTCAATAACTTTCAATTCAATAACTTTCACTGTTCCTGAGCTTGGATTTTGTGTGCGTGTGTGTGTGTGTCTCTCTCTGTCCATCATATTCTGCTTCTACATTTCACCTACCTTATTATAAAGTGTTACAGTTCTGACTCTTTCTGGCCCCAGAAATAATAATAAAAAAGCCTCTTATTTATTTTCTACCCTTTTCTTTATTTAACCAGGCACTCAGTTGTTGAAATGAAAAGGACAGAGCTATGATTGTGCATGTCTGTAAGGGAAACTTTTAGTGACATTTTTCAAATAAATATATAGAGGAGTTATGCAGCAGATACCAGGTTTCTACTTGTTAACAGCACCTACAAGTAGGGAAACGTACTGGTTTTAAACTACACTCCATGATCCTCCTCATTATACATTAGCCTGTGCTTTGACAGCATGGGGGTGCTTCCTCTGCCATTAGTGAGGAAAGCTATGCCAGCCAGAAGATTTAAATGAGCATTTGGCTGCCATTATATTATGTTGGTTTTGGTATTAACAGCAACCAAGGTGAAATATTAAAGAACACGCACAGGCTGGGGGAAGAGATGAGATATTTTTTCTCAAGCCAAAGGAAATGAACATACAGCAGGAAAAAACTGTAGCTTGGGTATACATGGAATCACTATAGAGTAAAACTGGTTGAATTATTTGTTGCTAATGAATTGGTTGATTAATTTATCTCTTTGTTCTTGCCAGGAATCCTCTGCAAAAAGCAACAATGATTTCCTGCTATTTGCTTATATTTACCCAACACCTTGGATTTTCAACCTACAGATCATTCACATTGATTCCTACATAAATACTGTCTGTGTTATGCTGTGGGTCATTTATATCAGACAGTCTTGTTTTTGCTACCTGGCTTGATAACTGAGACTTTGTGAACAGGAATTTTTTTTTAAAATGACAAATAATAACTAAACAAATACTGAATAACACATGATGAATAGTAAATAGTCTTGCTTAGGCATGGATACCCAAATATGTCTATCCATATGGAGAACAGACCCTTCCAAAACATTTACAAAAATCTTGTGCAAACATTAGTTTAGTGAATAGTAAGAGGTATATGTGTAGCCAGACTCAGACTCAAACAGATGTTTTGTGATATGGACATTATTTTACAGCATTCAACCAGCTCTTTGTGGATTTTAAGAAATAAACCTTCAGCTTGTCAGACATGTATACCTAGTGTCTTGGAAGAATTTAAAAACTGTTGATATTCTGAAAGTGTCTGAAAAGAGACACTCCTTACCATCTTGCCACTTCAAAAAAGAATCCTATAAAAAATGGAAATGACAATCTTCTCGTTACATCCACCATCTAGGTCCTAGGATGTCTGAGGCACAAGGTTGAGATCCAAGACTTCTGTAACCCAATATTCTGTGGACAAAGAAGGTAGAAAAAGAGGCAGAGCATATGGAGCAGGCTTCTGAAAATGCCATTTATTTCAACATGTGTGCATATAGCTCCTCTCTGACCTCTAGCAAAAGCTGAAGTTCATTTGTAGTTCATAATTGTTGTGGGGTCTGAAATCACTGGGGCTAAGTACAGACATTCAACCCCTCCCCCTCCCACCCCCCACTGAAGCCCCCCACTGCCTAGCTGTGGCTGACAGCTGACCAGAGGCAGTAGGAAGGGCTGGGAAGAGGGGCTGTGCTGGCTGAGGTCTGAGAGAGCTGTAGGGCAGAGCCCACTGGGCATTCGGCCAGAGCAGCCAAACATGGGGCGAGCGCTAGCACGGCTCCCTGCAAGAGGGGACTAGCAGGGGCCACGAACACACCTGGGATGCTAGCAGACAGCAAACTAACTTAAGTTGTTAGGGGAATTGGTACTGAAGTTCAATGCACTGGTCTAACCTAAATCAATTAAGTTTGAGTGCCCGTTGATCCAGGTCTATCTTAGACCAGGTTCCACCATTTTTAAACCACTCTGTGCGCCAAACTTCTGTACTTTTATGGTTTTTAGACTGGTTTCCAATCACTGACACTGGAAAAAGTGTGATGTCTGTATGTCACCTGGGAATCTGTCCATTGAACTAAACAGGTTTTAGATCTGGCGCTAACAGGCAAATTTGCAACAAGCCACAGGGCCAGTTTCAAGTGCCCAGCATTAATATTGGTGCTGTATTTCTAAAAGCACTTGGTGCTTATTTGGACTCCTAGAGAGGGTTTGAGTTTCAAAGGTATTTAGCAGCAGCTGGTTCTTATTGGGACACTAAGATCCATGCAGTGAGTGCTAAGTTATTTAAAATTAGGCTCCCCTATACTGAGACCAAAATGGGAGGTGCACTCCTTTTAAAACTTTGGGCTTGTGTACCTAGAGAGAGCATTATTTTCAGGCTTGGAAAGAAAAAAAACCCAACAAACCTCTAGACTTGAACTAGTCCCAAAGAAATAAATAGTTAAAAACAATCACAAAACTCAGAGGAGAGGAAAAATAAGCAATTGCTAAAAAAAAAAAAAATGATGCTCCAGTAATAATCTTTTAAATCTTTTATTAGATTAAAACTTGAATCAAACTGTTAAAATAATAGGCCTTCCACATGCATTTGGTAGTTTTGAAATAGCACTATCAAAGCAATAGCAGGCTGATATATGTATGTATAAAAGGGTATCCCAGACAACTACAGCTTTTCCCATGGCAACAAGTCATGTGAACCCTTAGAAAAATGTAAATAAGGACTTTATGTCATGTTATTGTGAACAAAAGCTCCTACAGAGCAGGCACCCCACAGGTCTGAACCCTGTAATAATCTATCCACCTAGTAGCCTTGATTGAAAGAGTGATTTATTTTCACATAGCTTTTGGGTTTTTTATGGCTGAAAAGAGTTTCCTTTAGTTAATAGTTCACATTCTATTCTAGCGCTCATTAGTGCAAAGGAGACAGGGCTCTCATTTTGCTAATAGGTGCTGCAATGGGAGTCAAGCAGCGTTTCTTATCTTCCCTGCCAGCGTGAAACACAATCACTCTTCTAACTGGTTCTTAATACTATTTCACACGATGAACTTCCATTAATAATGCCTCATGCTTACATAGTGCTTGTATGTACGAAGCACTGGGCAAACTTGGGGACAAATTGATTCCTAATGTAACGGTAGTGAAATCACCGGAGTTCCACCAGGATTTATCTGCCTCATTAACAAATTGGTTTATGTTCACAACACCCCAGGTAGTTTTGATCCTGACGTTGCAGATGGGAGGCTTGGAGAGAGATGACATGACTTACCCAAGGCCACACACTCAGTTCATGCCCTTCATCTGGAGGCGGAGTAGAGGGAGGGGAGCTGTAATTTTGAACCCAATTTGGGGAGCACCAAAAAGCTGGCTAACCCAACCATCATTTAGTCCTTTTGTCCACAGGACACCACATCGAATCCTTTGAATCACAGAATCAGAGAGAAGTGGGGCTGGAAGAAACCTTCGTAGGTCGTCTAGCCCAGCCCGCTTCTGAGGCAGGATCCTCCCTACTTAAGCCACCCTATACACATGCATTGTCTAACCTCTTAGCAAAGCTACATAGTCAATCCTGACACCAGGCAAGACAACACCCTAACTTGCCACAGATAAAGCAGGGGGACCATGGTGGCCAAGGCCCAGCTACTGTCAAATTTGTTAATATGTTCTCAAGATATCCCAGGAAAAGGCTCATACCTCCTGCTGCAGGGGAAGGCAAAAATCCTCACAGCCCATACCAATCTGACCATGTGGTGACATTCCTTCCTGCCCCCAAATACGATGATCCATCTGCCCTTAAACAGAGGGGCTCAAGGAACCTCTGGCTTTAAGTCTCAGCAGGAGCACTGGCACACCCCAGTCCATGGGTGGCTGGGGCCTCCCGAGTCTGGGGGGGCACCAGATCGCCGATGGGAGGGGGGTCTCCCAGCGGTCGATCGCCAACTGGGCAGGGGGGGCTCTCCCCTCCCGCTGATCACCAAGCCAGCAGCAAAACTGGAAGTGCACTTCCACTGGCGCTTCTGGTTTCATAGCTAGGTTTCCAGAGGGTGCACAGCAGATCTCAGGCACACCCGCGGGCACCCCCTACATGCCACCAATGCCCCAGTCATTCTGCAGCCTTGGCTACAGCCAACAGCCAATGCCTCTGAGGAAGCCTTTAAAAAAACCCAAACCCTGACACATTAGCAGCGGGGGAGAGAAGAAATTCTCTCCCAGCCCCATGTGGCAACCTGAAAAGCTCAGAAGCATGGAAATACCCATACAATGACACGGGCATAGCTATGCCTATATCATTCCCACCTCTCCTTGAACACCTCCAGTGAGGGAGAATCTGCAATTTCCCAGTTTCTCTATCTCACTGCCTCACTGTTCTACGTTGCTGCAACTTCAAACCACTGGTCTGTGTCCAATTCTCTGCAGCAAGAGGGAAAAGGTGCTTTTCCTCTTCTCTATGGCAGCCCATCAAGGATTTGAAGGCTGCCATCATGTCTCCTCTTAAGCACCTCTTTCACAAGCTGAACATGCCTAGCTCCTTCAGCCTCTCCTACGACTTGCTTCTAAGATCTTTGGGTGAGTCACTATGCAATTCAGTGTCTGCCCTTTAAACACAGAAATACAGAATACCTAAGTATCACTGCCCTTTGAGAGGAGCTTATTTTGACTCCCCAAAGGGACACCTTCTTCTGTCTCACAGAAGCGCCATTCATGTTCTTTCTGTATTTGGAAAGAGGGGTGTATCGGTTTACTTCTCAGCCATAAGGAAGGCCTAAGGGTCGAAAACAATGAAGTTCTCAACATTGTTGAGATGGCACACACCCGAAATAAGAAGCAGTGGCATGGTGCCACCGTTGACCCCTCCTTACTTTCCTTTAAATCCCTGAAACCAGGCAGAAAGTTGATGGTGGGAGGGAGAAAAGCTGTCACCACCTCATGGACCCTAATACTCATATGGACCCTAAATACTCATATGTGCATGTGGGAGGATAATTTTTACATTTGTTGGGGCCCTCCTGAATGATGTACAGAGCACTTACCTCCTAAGGCCAAGTTTACTCCTCTGAAACTCAGGTCATCCTTTCTCTGTACATGGACATGTGGAAGGCTCTCTAGGGGTTTAGACAACAGTGAAAAAAGTATTTCCTGTTGGGAAAGAGAGAAATTCATTCTTACATTGTATAGAACCCCTTGAACTGTGGTAGTTATGGTTGATGTTTTGGCCTGCAAGTCAAATGAATGCCATGGGGCAGGTCTGCAGGCCAGTCCTTCTCCACCTCCCCCCCCACCCCCAATCAGGCCCTATGCTGCCTCTGCCCAGCCTGCACACTGGATCAGGACCTGTGTGGCCTCTGCTGACTGCTGCATACCAGAATCAGGCCCTGCAGAAGGATCTAGGCATAGGGCACCACACCACCCCTGCCCAACCCAGTGCACTAAGATTGGGCCCTGGAGCCCTGTACCATCTTCACCCAGTCCTACGTACCAGACTTGAGCCCCACACCACCCTGCATGCCCAATCCATAGTTTCATAGTTTCAGGGTCGGAAGGGACCTAATAGATCTTCTAGCCCGACCCCCCGCCAGGGCGGGAGAACAACCCAAAAACACAAACAAAACCACTCACCCTAAAAACAAAAACGGGACTCAAATGAGTCCAGCCAGGTAAGTATCCAGCCTCTTCTTAAAGATCCCCAGGGTAGGGGCCAGCACCACCTCCCTTGGAAGTTGGTTCCAGCTCCTAGCCGCCCTGACTGTGAAGTAGTTTTTTCGGATGTCCAATCTGTACCTCCTCTCCATCAACTTGTGCCCATTATTCCTTGTTATGCCAGCAGGGGCTAGGGGAAACAGCGTCTCCCCCAAACCCTTCTGGTTCCCCCTAGTGAGTTTATAGACGGTCACCAGGTCCCCCCTCAGCCTTCTCTTGTGGAGGCTGAATAGGTTCAGGTCCCGCAGTCTCTCACTGTAGGGTCTGCCCTGTTGTCCCCGGATCATGCGGGTGGCCCTCCTCTGGACCCTCTCCATGTTGTCCACATCCCTCCTGAAATGGGGCGCACAGAACTGGACACAATACTCCAGCTGCGGCCTGACCAGCGTCGCATAGAGGGGGAGGATCACCTCCCTGGCTCTACTCGAGATGCACCTGTGGATGCACGACAAGGTCCGGTTAGCCCTGCCAACCATGACCTCGCATTGTCGGCCCATGTTCATCTTGGAGTCAATAATGACACCAAGATCCCTTTCCGCCTCCGTGCTCTCAAGTAGGGAGCTCCCCATCTTATAAGTGTGCTGCTGGTTCCTACTACCCAAGTGCAGCACCCTGCACTTGTCCGTATTGAAACGCATCCTGTTCCTGTCTGCCCACCCCTGTAACCTATCCAGATCCTTCTGCAATCTCTCTCTCCCTGCTAGCGTGCTCACCTCCCCCCAAATTTTGGTGTCATCAGCGAATTTAAACAGGTTGCTCTCCACCCCAACATCAAGATCGCTGATGAAGACATTGAACAGCGCAGGGCCCAGGACCGAGCCCTGAGGGACTCCACTACCCACCTCCCCCCAAGTCGAATATGATCCATCCACCACCACCCTCTGAGTGCGACCCTTCAGCCAATCTGCAATCCATCTGACCGTGTAGGCATCTATGCCACAGTCGCCTAGTTTATTAATTAGGATGGGGTGAGAGACGGTGTCAAAGGCCTTGCTGAAGTCCAGAAAGACTACATCCACCGCGACACCTGCATCCATGGCCTTTGTGACCTGATCATAAAAGGCAATCAGGTTGGTCTGACATGATCTCCCCCTAATAAATCCATGCTGATTGCCCCTGAGCATCATCTCGGATGCCGGCCCATCACAAATGTGCTCCTTGATGATCTTCTCAAAGAGCTTCCCCAGGATTGAGGTAAGACTGACGGGCCTATAATTGCCCGGGTCCTCCCTTTTCCCTTTTTTGAAGATGGGGACCACATTAGCTACCTTCCAATCGTCTGGCACCTGGCCCAAGCACCACGATCGCTCGTAGAGCCGTGCCAGGGGCCCTGCAATAACCCCAGCCAGCTCCCTCAGCACCCTGGGGTGGAGAGCATCCAGACCCGCTGACTTGAACGCGTCCAGCCCCTCCAGAAGCTCTCTAACCCGGTCCTCCCCAACCTGAGGTCTGAAGGCGATCCCCTCGCGTCCGGCTTCTATCACAGCAGGGAAGTCCCGTTCCCTGCACAAGAAAACGGAGGTGAAGAATTGGTTAAAGAGATCCGCTTTATCCTCTGACGCAACCACCAGATTGCCCCGCATATCCAATGCCTAGGGCCAAGATATTCAGCCTATAGGGCTGAGACATTGGGCAGTGGGGAGCAGATCTGACTTGGAGGCTGGAGGTTGAGTGCTCCTGACTTATTGGATCTAGTTCCATAATTGGAAATCTATACATACTACTGTACTAAAAATAAGTAATGAGTATAGAAAGTCACAGTAAGGGACAGCTTCTCAGCTCCACTAAAGTAAATGGAGCAACACCAGTTTACGATAGCTAAGAATCTGTCTCTTATTTGTCTGAAGTGGGATATATCCTTTAAAGGAAAAGTTGATCCATTTTTTATGTCTTTTCATGCTCTCTTCCCCTTAACTCCATTCTCCATTAACTGCAGTGCCTGGTCTCAGAGATGAAAACTTCCATGGAGCTTCCTTTCCCCTTTGGTGGGTGAACTCCTTACCTCTGGTTGGGAAAGATTTTCTAAAATGGCCCTCCTAAAAATCCTGAAAATCACCTAGAAACGAATCTTAACCTCTATGCAAACTGTCTGGATCAAAGTAGTGTGGGTTGTATCCAAGCTCACTGAAGTAAACCACAAGATCACCTATAATTTAAACCTTTAAATCATAAGTTTTGAATGGTGGATAGAAAATCTACAGCAGTGTCTGAAGCATGATGACAATGTAAGAAGCACATCAAAATCCCATAAGGTCCTGAGTCCCTCCACTGTTGTTACCAGTCCCAGAAGAGCTTTGTGTGAGTTAAGGACACTCAACATTTTTTTTCAAATTGAACTTGTATTTCAGATTAGAAAAAGGAATAGATTATCTTTCATTCTTTATTTCCTAAGGATTATAAAGATAATTAACACAAGTTCTTTAAGTACTTTCTTCCTAAGACAGATGCATTCTAACATTGTCCAGAAGGCGCCTTTTTTACCTTCCTTAATTTCTTGAAAAAAATAATTTCCCAGGCTAAAGAACCTTTTTTTTTTTTTTTCATGTTTCATTTCTTGGGAATGATTTGTTATTTTCCTTCACTGGGATGAGGAGAAATATTATTTTGGAATCAAATATTCTTCTTTTGGTCAATAATTAAAGACTTGACGTGCTACAGCCTGACTGTATATGATATACATCATTCACAAAACACTGTATGAAAAGTTTCTTAAGATCTAGCATTCAAAAATTAAGATTAGCTTCTATTCTGAGTGGATCCAGAGGGCACAGACTGTTCTGACCTCAGCCCCAAAGAATGAGACCTTCTGTTTCAGCCCTTCCAACTTGTCCCAGTTCTAACCTTTTCTCTCCCCTGCCCTGAGCACCTTCCTTGTTCTAGTCCCAATCTCCTTGCCTACCCAGACCCAATCTCCACTCATACAGTTTCATATCTCAGCACCAGTCTCCATGCTTACCTAGTCCTGCTTTTTCTCCCTGGGCTACCAGCAGTGACCCTCCTTCAGTATTTGGGTCCCAGTGCCCCCTCCTTCAGCTTTATAGAATCATAAAGAAGCAGGACTGGAAGGGACCTCTGTAGGTCAAATGTCCCGCCTCAAGCAAAATCATCCTGATCCAAAACATTAATTTGTCTAACAAATCCATTGTTTAATCTCTTAGAAAAACTACACAGTGAACACAACACAAGTTAATACCCTAACCTGCCAGGGTGTGTCCTTTGCCCTCCAAACTCCTAGTCTCCTTGCCCAGGACTTCCATTTCTCCATTCCTGGTTTCTTACCCAATTTGTCTCTTCCTTTCTTGTACACTGGGTCCCATCCCATTCTCTTCTGCCTCCCAGGTTGCCAATCTGAGTTTGTCTCCCAAGCTACCTACCTTCACACCTTGTTCCAATCTTTCTACCCAGATAGTCCCACCTCTCCCCCTGCAAATAAACTCCTTACCATATCTATCCTCTCTCATCTCCCACATTCCTACTCCCAGTCTTCAAAGTTTCATACTAGGTAGGGTCGGAAGGGACCTGAGCAGATCATCAAGTCCGACCCCCTGCCATGGCAGGAAAGAATGCTGTGGTCAAATAACCCCAATATTAAAGCTTGAGTCTTTGGATAGCATTAGCAATAATGCATCTTGAAGGAGCCTGGCCTGCAGGACATGGACTGGAACCTCAGATCATAGTGTTTAGCCACAGAGGAAAGTAATCATTCAAGTGGACACAATGGGTATGGGAGCTGACTCTTGGGTCCTTGAGGTTAAAGAGGCTTGAGATTCCTCTTGAACAATTCCCTGTGTTTGGAGGGAATTTCATGGTTGGTAGGGTCGGAAGGGACCTGAGCAGATCATCAAGTCCGACCCCCTGCCAAGGGCAAGAAAGGATGCTGGGGTCAAACGACCCCAGCTAGGTGATTATCTAGCCCCCTTTTGAAGACCCCCAAGGTAGGAGCGAGCACCACTTCCCTTGGAAGTTGGTTCCAGATCCTAGCCTTTCTGACTGTGAAGTAGTGTCTCCTGATATCTAGCCTGAATCTGCTTTCGGTCAACTTACGGCCATTATTCCTCGTTACTCCCGGTAGTGCTCGGGGGAACAGGGACTCTCCCATAGCCTGCTGGTCCTCCTTGGCCAGTTTGTACACAGCCACCAGATCCCCTCTCAGTCTTCTCTTGTGGAGTCTGAACAGGTTCAGGTCCTGTAGCCTCCGTTAGTAGGGAGCTGTCCCCTGATCATGCGAGTGGCCCTCCTCTGGACCCTCTCCATGCTGCCCACATCCCTCCTGAAGTGTGGCAGCCAGAACTGGATGCAGTACTCCAAATGTGGCCTGACCAGTGTTCGATAGAGGGGGAGGATCAGCTCCTTGGACCTGCTCGTGATGCATCTGTGGATGCATGACAAGGTGCGGTTAGCCTTCCTGGCCGCATCCCCACATTGGTGGCCCATGTTCA